GCAGATCTGCTCACAAATGGAAGAGTTAGCAGAACATGAAGTATTTCTCCCTCCTAATATGCAAGGACTGATTGATGACCAGACTGAAGAACTGAAATTAAGGGATGAATTGGGTGAAAAGTGTGCACCCAGTGGAGGTGCAGTATTAAAAAAGGATGTCATCGGACGAAGAAATGGGCATGCCACAAATGAAAAAATAAAGCAAGATTTAAAGAACACCATAAGAAGCCAAAGCAATAATACCTAAGAAACAAATGGACGCCAGCCTGTGTTACCATGGAGACGGTGAAGGACCCCTGCCCCAGCTCCAAGGGGGAGTGATGCTTGTTTATCCCATGGGCTGCGCCCTACTATCCCATCGGGATGGAATTTGAAAATACGATGTTGGGAACTCAGGCAGGACACAAGGTCATTGAGGAGTCAGAAGCACAGCTGCGGTGGGCTGCCAAGGAGCCAAGAAGAACAAAGAAAGTTTCAGACTACACGGGCAGAAATGAAAAAAACCAAGTTGTCAAGATTCAGCAAAGGGGACAAGGAGCCCCAGCCCCAGAACCTAATGTTAGCAGTAAGGAGCAGAAGCAGCTGATGCTCAGAAAAGGGAAGAAAATGGTGAGGGCTCCTCCTTAACTTCTCCACGGGGGTACAACGCTGCTTTCAGAAGACACTTTCATGGGTGCAAAACATAAAGTGGAAACCAGGATGAGGTTCACCCGTTGATGAAGCTTCCAAAAATATTAGCTCACTTCTCTCTTTAGGTAAAATAATAATAATGGATAATCACAACCGTCTGTGAAGATGTTGAAATATCTAGTTTTCTTTTTAGTTTGAATTTTTACAATAAAAGTTATTTTTTTTAAAAAAAAAATCTGCCTACATTATTATTTCAGGACTATTTGTATTTGAGGTTCTTCTTTGACAAAATTCTAAGGATGTAATTACTTACAAAAATAAATAGTGGAAAGAAAATACTCCAGGAGCATGTTTTGCATACAAGGTTCTACATTATTTTTAGATCAGGTCTGACAAAATTCCTAACTGATAACACCCTCTAAGTCACAGTTTACGGTGCAGAAATGCATTTAGCAGTCTGCAGATACTAAATGTTTTAGTCTCTGACTTGCTGTGTGTGTGTGACTTGGAGCAGCCATTAGCTGTTCTTGCCAACCTACAGGTTCCCCACCAGTGAGATGGAAACATTCTCTGTCCAATCTTCAGTGCTGGAGAAAAAAAGTAGCACATAATAAAGCAGTTTGATAACCTAAAATATTATGAAGCACAAAGATTAATTATAACTTTTCTCGCTATCCTATTTGATTTCAAAATTGTTCCTCATTTTGAGCCGAGAACTTTTTTCAGATAAAACTGGTATGGAGTGGGGAGAAAGAACATTAAAAGTATTTCTTAAATTCAATTAAAAAAGTAAAAAAATAAAAACACAATAAAGAACTCTTCAAATTACTTTTGGTTCACTTTTTAATTTTTCTCATGCAGATTATAAAAGAGTTCCTATTATTGCCAACAACCAAATTCCAAAGGGGTAAATTTACATTAGAAAGTAGATACCATCCACAAAATTGGACTGGGAGATAGGAGGAAGACATGCAAAAAATACTCTCTTCTATAGATTAGATCCTTTACTAAGAAAGTCACTGGTCACAGACAATCAGTATGATGCATTATACAAAAACAGGAAAGCCATATAGAAGTAGTGGTAGAGTATTTAGCTTCTTGTATAACCTTCTGTAGACACTCAAACACTAATAGACGAGTCTAGAGTGAAGCACTGTTGGGATAGAAAGAGATCCCTCCATGCTAAACCAGGGTCTTGTGATCACATCTATTCCCAAAAACTGAACTTGCCCCTGAAAAGAACTGAATAAAAGCTCTTAATTCCTTTTGGTGTTATTCCAAAAGGAACTTCAGAAGCATGACTTTAAAAGATAGGAGACCAAGACCAAGGTCACTGCGGTTCTTAAAGTTTGGCGGCGGACTCGGGGAATGGGAGAGAGAAAGGGGAAGCGTGGTTTTAAAGGAAAATCAGAGGCGAGCAGAAGAGCAGTAAAAAGAATTAGTGCACTCAGTGACACTACTTTCAGGAACATGAGGGGGGAAATAACAAGCAGTGTTTCTGGTCCGATTATAAATTTATATCTAGCCAAATGAAGAAGCCGAACTACTCTCTAATATTGTTTCTCTGAAAATGCACAAGCGTCTGACGGCTGCAAGGTTTCGTTCCAATGAGCGAAAGGGAATGCCTTTCCCAACAGCCCACAGGGACCACGTTTCTCTTTAGAAAAACTAGGATCAAGCTCCCAAAGTGGCACTGAAACATGGATGAGTTAAATCAGCTAATATGTTTAACACGGTAACATTCCTACCTTAGACCAAGTTTTGCTTTGCTTTACTTGAGGGGACACTTATGGCCAAAGGAGCTAGAAGAAAACCTGTGGCCCGGGAAGGACCATGGGGAGCACAGTAAGGATGGGAAAGGAGCACAGGCACCAAAGGAAAGACGTGTTGGACTCTCAAACTAGAAATCCCATGAACTGCAGAATGCCACGAGAGAAACACGTGGCGGGGCCCTCAAAGCAGTGAGAATTAGGAGTGGCAAAGTAAGGAATGCCTCTGGATTAGCTGAAGGAATGAAATATGTGCCTTTTGAAACAAACACCAGTACTTGAATGGGTCCCACTGGAAGCAGGGACTGAGAAACACTCGTCCAGATACCGGAACGTGGAGCTTGATGTGGACAAAAGGGTGATGTCCTGGGTACAAGCCACTTTCACAAGCTCAGAAATTAACAGAGGAATTTAGTCTCTATGTTATACACCAGAGAAAAGCAAAAAGATGCCAGTTCATCTCAGTACATCCCAAGAAAACACACGCATTCAGCTTCTGATAAAGGACATACCGATTCTTTCTGAATTGCATGCCAGAGCCATGGATGGCGTCATTTCCTAAACCTGTTAGATGAAAGCTCAACATAGAGCATGATTTGATTGGGGCGAACCCAGACTCTTTCAGGAATCAGAGCACTGATCACGTAACTGGGTTAAGGGCGCCATACTACTGACGTTGAAGTTACAAGTACAATACACTTAAGGGCAAGGTTAGCAGCTGTGCACAGTAAGACAGTGTCTGACATGTAGCCAGCCACGTCAAAATAAACTAGGCTGGGACGTAATTGTGGGGCCAACTAGGCAAGACACGTGGGTAGACTGTACAACTATGGTTAGGTAGTATATACAATAGAAATATACTTTCCCCAATCATTTCAACCATTCAATCTTTTATAACTCCTTATATATGCCTAATACTTGTTCTGGGGAAATAAAAGCCTGTATTGTATAAATCCTTGATATTTATTGAACACCGAACAAGACTATTGCCACACTTTGTTGGATGTGTTAACAGGCTAGTTTAATAAGTAAAAGTCAGCTAAATTTCCCAAGCAAGGATCAAGAGGTTCTGAAGGCAGGGAAATCTTGATTCAATTTTACTTTTATCCCTGAACCTCTCAGAAAAAACCCTAAAGCCATTTTAGTTTTGACTTGTACCAAAATAAGATTATTTTGCATTAATAAAATACCTTGTGGGTGATCAAATCAAGTTTTTTCCCCCTACAATCATCCTAACCAAGAAGTGGCCTTCGTTTGATTCTTTAAATTATAATTACAAAATTAATTACACACTGACATTAAAATCTGCTCTCTGGGCCCCACTGATTGAACTTTTATGACTTCTAAGATGTCTCCCAGTGCTCTGAGAGGCCACTACTATTTTAGCTTATTTCACAATTCTCATTAATTTCTACAAAAGACCAAAACTCACAATTGTACTAAAACTAGACAAAAAAGATTTCCATGCATTAAACAGTTGTGAAATAGAAGTAGCTATATATTATTAAAGGTCATACACAGCTACTGATTTACTTGGCATATTCAAAAGAAATGCTGTGCCGGCTATCGGTGGAAGTTGTCATGCAATGCCAAAACTTTGTCCCAGATAAAATATTTCAATATAATGTTTTAAAAAGACTCAACTGAAATAGTTTGGGGTTATTTTCATACATGCTATTGTGAAAAAAAATGATAACCGGTAGAAATCCATGGAAGTAATAACATTAGAAAGTAGCTTACTTCACATGAATTTAGTCAGTATCTCATTTACAAGAGTATGCATTCAATAAAGTATGTATTGGGGTTATGTCTTAAGCAAACTGCTTATGGATCTATTCTAGTAAAATTCTGTATTTAACAAATGAAATTGTTTCATTTACATGTAGGCTGTGTAAAGATGTTGGAAGGTTATTTCAGATGCAAACATTTTGCTAGTAAGTTGCAAAACTTAACCTACAGCCATATATTTTCAGGTAGGCTCACTTTTCAGTAACAATATATTTCAGTGACTTTCAACCTTTTTTTTCCAGCTCATGGCACACCAAAAAATACATTATTTTGCCGATCTGACCCACCCCCAAATTTCGATTTTGATTCACTCACACCAGGCTGCTATTGTCGCTTGTTGCTGTCACTTTTTGACAAGCTATGGGAAAAGGTCAGTGCCCCCGACAAATCCTCAGGTATTGCATGTTTTAAAATTCTTGTGGCATAAAGGTTGAAAGTCGCTGATATATTTCAATTAGGTTTTTGACAGAATATAATTGGTACTTTGTGTATGACTTGGAAAGAGGTTGTAGGCGAGGCTGACAAGCACAAGAAAAGATGTTCAGTTATAGCCTAGGAGCCATTAGAAATGGGGTTCTGAAGGGCAGCATATTTTGTAGGATTCTACAATAGGCAGAGGTTGCTCCCATCATAAAGTTTGTAACATCAACAGACTGGGCTAACTTGGGAGTCATGTATCAATGAATTCAACTCTCATACCATGAACAAAGGCAGAAGATAGAAAACCCAATTTGAGCGCTACCAGAAAAGGTAAAACAAGTGATCATTACAGTAAAATATAATAGAGGTGTAGAAATAATATTAGATGACCAGTTTTCTGAGTGAGAATGACATTTCAAACAAATTTATTTCCGTGCTTCATGAAAAAGAGCAATCTAATAGCAGTGTAGCCAGCATACAATCACAATGCTGCAGAACATTAAACAATCATGAGCTTTAAAAAAATTACAGGGCACACAATGGGACGGTAAACTGTTAAACTTATGAAAGAGTCCAACAATGCAAGAATCATGTGTGGTTCCCACCACGGGGTTATCAGTTGAGCAGGCCATTCACGGTGTTATAATAACTGAATGGAGACATTTTTAGCCGAGACTGGATATTTTCATGTACTTGTTTTGGTAAACTGCAACTAACTTAAAAAATACCAGTATTTCCCTAAATCAACATTAGTGCTTCAAGTTTAGATTGTTAAGGAACTTATTTTAAGTTAGTGACACTGATCTGAATTGCTGCTCGCACGCACACACACACGCACACACACACACACACACACACACACACACACACACACACACATCACAATGGATTGTTTTGATGGGAATGTGCTATTTCTTTGAAAAATATGAGTTAGAATATCTTCTAGGATTTTAATTCTTCAAGTTTACTGTCATGGGTGGTGATTCAAAGAAAAACAAGTTAATAGTTAAATTTTGCAGACATTCAATAAGTGTTGAATGAAAGAATGGATAATGGATGGACGGATAAAGTACATTAAAGCTTTATCCATTAAATCTGGTGAGAAAATAATTTCTAGTGAGAGCTAAGGCCTAAAACGAAATATTACAAGGGTGTATTCCTGATAGTCTAATACTAGTAAATATCTTATTTAAGCAGCTGAAACAATAAACAATCACTTATATAATTATATGTATAAGAAACCTTAGGCTCACAAAAATATACATGTTTTAAAACAGAAATCTAAGGCACACAAAATACTAAAACAAGTCAATGAATTACCCTATTTTACATATTCAAAAGCAGAAGTCTACTTGTACAAGAAGATGGTCTATCAATGGACATTTTATTTACAATCCCTTCATATTCCTTTACTTTGATTAGTCAAAAGCTTGAAACTGATACTTTGCACCATATATTACTTTAATATGTTATGATGAGTTTTCTTTAGAGAGCTTACTGGAACTGTTTGCTTTTGCACCAGAATTGTGAGTGTTAGCGGTTGTGGGCTTCCTATGGCATTTCCAGGGGAGAAGCACCATTAGGTTTTCCATACTCCCAAGGAATCTGAGACTTTGAATATTATAGCACCTCTGCATTTTAACAGAATCAAGTATTTCACTGAAATTTCTTCCTGTTCTAAAAGTTTGCTTTGGGTAATCTCTCTCATTTTGCTGTGAATCAAGAGAGTAATAGAAAAAATAATGGGAGAGCTGAAATACACGGATTGCCTATTTTCCTGTTACCTAGAACACAGGCAATTATCGCAGAAGTTATTTTCCCAAAACTGTATGTTTAAATTTTGAATTAGCTCTTAATGAATAGAACTATATTTATAATACCATTCCTACTGTTTGTTTGGGGTGTGTGATGATAATAAGGAATTTGTTTTCAAAATATTTCTACTAAAATTTTATTCCTATTCTGTACCAGAATGACTTTCAGAACAAGTAAGGCAATTTGGGATGGGTAGGGTCCTTATTACTTAATTTTTGTATTTTATCACCCTGAAACTTTATAAGCATTTGACTCTTCTGAATCCTATTATGTCCCATCTCCTTTTAGAAACACCTTTCATGGGTTATATTGAGAAAGCTACAATGAAAGTAAATTGGGATCAATGTTGCTCAGTAAATCAGAAGAGATCACTCTTAATTAGTTCCCAAGAAAATGTTAATCAATATTGGTGATATGCTTTCAAATTCCAATTTTAGATAATTAACCAATTTCGCATGATCTGTTTTATATAAGTAGCTAATATTTGAGTGAGAAAAAACACATTAAAAAACACAAACCATATACATGATTAGAATACATATTGCAGTTAATAAGATGGAACTCTACACAGCAAGAATAAGTGATTTCTCTTGTATGCAAATATGCACAAACAATAGACAATAGGATTCTTATACTATACTATTTCAAGTTACTCTTAAAAATAGAAAGTGCTTTTAAAATATATATTTACAATTTACGAACAGCCTCCAACCATTACTAACAATAATGAATTATTTTATACAGGAGAGATACTTTAAGAGACAAAACATTTCATTGGTTTATTTAAAAGGAATATGCCTATTTTCTAGCAATGATTGGAAGATGTTGGAACAATGGCACCATGAAATAATAATTCAGCTTATTTTTAACTGTGTCCATGTGGTTAAGCACCAGGAGCTGTGTAGAGTTAACACTGTGTATCTTGATTTTACATCATAGCACATTACCAGTTAAAATCCTCTAAAAATTACTCATTTCATAGTAAACAGGCTTAATTTAAAGCACCAAACTGAGTGATTCTCTCAAGGTTAACACCTAACCAAAACATATCTTTATGTATTTAAAATTATAAAACTTTTATTTTTGCTTAAAATGTGCACCATCTACCAATTGTCAGAATATAGTCACAGTTAAGAAATACCCACCCTATTGTGTATTTATTTTTCTTTAACTTCAGCTTTCAAATGGGTGAGATGAAGATCTAGTAAACAACAACATGACTTTCCTTTAACAGCACCTTGGAGAAATACACTGCACTAGCAAAGGCATCAGAAGGGGAGATAAGCCTTCAGACCCAATGGTTATAGGGCCCTGCAACGTGTGTGAGAGCATAAGGGGACACGGTGACAACATTGTCATGGGTTGATGTTAATGCTTTATGAGAGGGAATTTGGTTCAATTCATTCATTTCAGGGGACAGCTTAGAACCCTCACCAGCTGCCTGACCTTTCTGCTCCAAGGCCTTCATTTTCCTATTCTTGGCTTCTTTAGCCTCAAACTTAATCTTGTTTAGTTCGAAACCGTGTTGGGGCCTATTTAGGTTTTTGTGCTGGTAGAAGACCAGGGAGAGGCGTGTGGGATGATTCCGGTTCGGGTGTCTGACGGGGGTGGTGGCATGGAGCTCTCGCCGGGCACACTCGATTAGAACAGAGCCATGGGAAGGCGCTATTGCCACCCCCCCGATATTGGCATCCAAGAAGATGTGCTCACTGTCTGACCAATACTCGTCAATGTGGGGGACCTTCTCCTCAGTGGGCGACAGGGGGTCATCGGACAGGGGCTCGTCCGACAGAGGCTCATCTGCTTCCGAATGCTGCTCTTCTTCTTCCACCAGAGAGGAAGCAAGGTCAGGAGCAGAGGTGACGAGGGGGGGCTGCTGGTCTGGCTGCTGGGGAGTTAGCTGCTCAGATGGCCCCGTGAGGGGCTCAGAGCCACCCGGGGACTCTGAGAGGGGGGCGGGCAGGGCGGGAGGACTCACTTCACCGGGCTGTGCGACTCCAGGGCCTGCCCCAGCAGCAGCGTTAGCACCACTGTGTCCCGCAGAAGGCATCATGCAGTGCGGGTGGCTGCCTCTTTCGGAAAGCCCGCAGGGAACCGGGACGTCGTTCTTGGAAGCAGTCTTAGGGGACCAGGAGAAGCCTGGGGGCGAGTTTGTCTCTTTCACTGGGTGAGGAATGGATGGGGTCAGTGAGTAGGTTTTAATGTTGTCCGAACCTTTGAAGATAAAATTGGGCTCAATTTCACTTTTAATTTCAGGTTGCAAGGTCTCAGTTTTATTCCCTAAACAGAGAAAAGGACACCAAATGTGAAGGTCAGTACAAACTACTTTTGGCAGTCGTTGTCGTAAGAGTACAAAGAATGATATGACCAAACACTGATGACGTCAGTGCCAGCCAGTTCTCTTCTGTTCACTTTAAGTCAAACACGCACACATACATTAAAATTCGGATGTAGTTGGTAGCTTTTTCACCCAGTGATTTTCCTTAAAGAATTTTTCATGTTCTAAAAGATGATAATATGATGACATAGAACAATATTTAACTACCTGAGGAGATGTTTAGATGGATTTTAGGTATTGCATGATCTCATTTTTGAAAAAGTAAAAAATAAGTAACAGTTTATAACTATTCCTGGGCAAAGAAAGCATCATAATAGGCAAAGTTAATTATTAGCAAAGGAAGGCACATAGAAATGTTAGTTGAAAATAAGCCATTTGTAACCCATAAAAACACATGCATTTAAGCTCGTTCCTTTCTCACCGAGTAGGGTAGGTCATTATTATCACACTGGTCAATGTGGGTAACTGCTCTGACACACCCACACAAATATTACATCAAATGAAAATATTCTTGCTGAGGACATTCTCCCTGTTTCAAAGTTCTATTCCCCCCCCTCCCCGCCCCGATGATACAACCTAGAGACACAATGGTTCTCATTTCTAAAGAAAACTCATACATAGGAACCCAGGAGTGGCACTTCAAGACACCCATGCTACTATCTATGGTTGACTACTATTATTATAGAGATTAAGTTGTCAACAAATATAAATGATGGGGAGGAACGATTAAAATACTGATGAATCTTTTATTGAGTTGAATAAAACTGACAAAGAATTTATGGGTAAGGTTTCAAAGGGGTCAAGAGGTTATGGGCCAAATATTGTACATATGGCTACTAATAAATTGAACCTACAAACTTTTGGTGCGCGGGAGGACACTCCAATCACCTGAGCCACCCGGTCAGAGTGGTATATATTACTTTTAAAATAGCATGTAAAGTTGCAACCTATTGGAGAATGACACAAAAATGAAAATGATATGATTGTTATTTACAAGCAGCATGTAACGAGTTAAATGAATCTTAAAATAAAACTAAATTAAAATCTGTGAAATGGAGCTACAGGAAAAAAGGAATGATAATTCTCTCTGCCTTCCCTCTTCACTATCCCTTTATTGAATCTTTCCCAGCATTATAAAAATGCCTACATTGTCATTTCTCTCATCTTAAATATAAAGATCAAAGAAGGAAAGGAGTACCCATTAATTCAAAGTTTGAATATCAATATTAATTCATGGTATATATATATATATATATATTTAGGTTCCTTGGAGAAATGGCTGAGTTTAGATATGGGGCAGGATTAAATAAGATGAGCCTGGAATATCTGGTCAAAACAAAACCTATCAAAGACAACTGGAGTATAGCCCGGCTGGTGTGGCTCAGTGGTTGAACAACTACCTATGATCCAGAAGATTGAGGTTCAATTTCCAGTCAGGGCACATGCCCGGGTTTTGGGCTCAGTTCCCAGCAGGGGGTGTGCAGGAGGCAGCTGATCAATGACTCTCTCAGCATGGATGTTTCTCACTCTCCCTCCCTCCCTTCCTCTGAAGTCAATAAAAATATATTAAAAAAAAAAAAAAAANCTCAGCATGGATGTTTCTCACTCTCCCTCCCTCCCTTCCTCTGAAGTCAATAAAAATATATTAAAAAAAAAAAAAAAAGACAATTGGGGTTGTAACAAAAACATTTCAGAAGACAGCTTGATGGGTTTCTACTGACTAAAGAAGAGACGATTTAAAGATTGTTTTTTAAAAGCATTTTCAAATTTAGTTGGGAAAAACACCTATTTAATATGCACTCAAGTATAAACTATGTTTTTAAAAAAAACATGAGATCAAAATGATACTAAATTAAAAAAAAATTGACCACATTAGCCGAGCTGGGCATGGCTCAGCTGTTGAGCATCAACCTAGGATCCAGGAGATTGTGGTGGATTCCGGGTCACGGAACATGCCCAGGTTTTGGGCTTGAACCTCAGTAGGGGTCGTGCAGAAGGCAGCTGATCAATGACTCTGTCATCATTGATGTTTCTATCTCTCTCTCCTTTCCTCTCTCTGAAATCAACAAAGATTTATTAAAAAAAAAAACTGACTACATTAGAACATGCTTGGGAACATGCAATCTGAAAACTGGTGAATAAAGACAAATAGCTAAGTATTTACTCAGATTTCCCCATATGAACCATTCCTCGGAAATAAGTTATTGATAAGGGCAATATTTTTTTAATAGAAGATCAACTAACGAATGGAAAAAGAATGATAGATTTTGTTCCTCCTAATGAAATAAATAATACAGAATATAAAGGTACCTAAAGTCATTAGGTAAAAAGCTGACAGGGAACAAGAACGTAATAGTGAATTAGGCTGACAAACGCCTGGCCCATGAGTCAGGCTCAACATCACCACGTATATTGTGACCTGAAGAAACAGAAATAAAGGATCACAGATGGTGGTGTTGTCATACCAATTTTTTAAAAATTGAAGCTGAATTTGGCTCTACAGAACAATGGTTTCTGCTATAATGAAAAAAGAAGAGAGAAAAAGAGGAAAAACAGCAAGCTTTAAGTTAAATTTAAAAAGTATAGGAGACATGTAAAATTAATATAATGTGTGACCTTGTTTGTATACTTATTTAATCTAACTAAATGTAAAAAAAAGCCACTAGGAGACAAGCAAAGCAATTTGAACACTGGTTGCTTTAAGGCATTCTTTGATTTTCTTGTTTTTGTTTTAGGTACTGTGGTTTAAAAATTCCTTATATTTTAGTGATATATACAGATGAATCAATGGTAGTAAATGAGACATGACCTCTGCAATTTGTTATCAAAAATATATATAGATGCAATAAGAATGGATACGTACTGAAATAAATTTAAACTGGGAGCACATGAGGGACATGGGATTCATTATATAATGCACTCAGTATGTACACTTAAAAATTTTTCCACTTAAGAAAAGACCCTCAACCTTATAACCTATACCTCATTCAACTCAGCCCATTATAGCCAAGCACAAGAATCTCTCCGATTTTTCTGTAAACCCACTTCATTCACTCTCACCACCACTCTACTGAAATAAATCTGCTCTAGCAGGTCCTCTAGCAACAGCCTTCCAATCTGATGGCAAAATCCAGTCGCCACCTCGCTTGACGCGGGAGCAGGGGCCTTTGACGGAGGTGATGCCTCCCCGCCGGGAACGCTGCCCTCGGTGGCTTCACTCCTACCTCGCCCGAGATGCCAGCTCTCTCGTGCCGGCTGTTCCTCATCTCCGAAGCCTTTACAAATGGAGAATTCTCAGGATTTGGCCTTGATAAAGTCTCTTACCGCCTTTAGTTTCTCTCTGTGATTTCCCGCATTCTCGTGGTTTACATTCTGTCTATAAAATCGGCCTCCTAAACTACATGTCCAGCTAGAAGCCTTCCCGAGCTACACTGCATTCAGCTGCGCACCGAACATCTACAGAGCCTGGAACGTCTCTGCAAAGTGCCTCAGCTCTCTTTCCAGTTCTGTTCTCCTCTCCGCTTCCTCATGGCAGGTGGTGGTGTCTCCACACTTCCAGTTTCTTCAAGCCAAGAACATCAGGGTCAACCTTGACACTTTTGGGGGGCATGCTCTAAATTTAATCCATCAGAAATCCTGATACCCTCAAACCATCCAGAGTCAGACATTTCTTGGGGCCTCATTGGCCGCCCTGGTCTAAGCTCCACCACCTCTCTCCTGAGTTGTTAGGATACCCTCGTTATGATCACCCTGCTTTCCTATTATCTGCCCCACATCACTCTAGTTTTAACCCAGTAACTAGAATGTTAGGTTTGAGTCACACCATAGCCTTTTCGTATCCTGAAATGCCCAGTAAACTTCCTCTCGTTCATAAAAAGTCCAGTTTTCACAGCAGTCTACTAAACCTGAGATGAACTGCTCAGACCCCCCTTTACCTCTCTGATCTCATTCTCAGCTATTCTCATTTTACACTTGCTCCAGCCACACTGGCCTCCTTGCTTGCATCAAGTATTACAGGAAATTCCTGCCTCCTGACTTTTGCATTTGCCATTTCCTCTGCCCAGAATGCTATTTATCCAAATAAAAACACTACAGATTCTCATTTTTAAATGCCTCATTCTGAGGGATGCTCAGTAATATTTGTTGAGTAGGTCACTTAAGCTGAGTAGTTAATATTTGTAGTAGTTTAATATTTGTTGAGTAGTTATTTAAGTTACTTAAGTTGGAAAGGTGATCAAAGAAGTGATGTCATTTCATGTATGCCAAGGAGGAAGAGCGGGGTTTCAAAACAGATGTGGAACCAAAAAAAGGATGTGTTGCCTTGGCCAGGTGGCTCACGCGGTTGGAGTGTCGTCCTGTACAACAAAAATGTTGCAGGTTCAATTCTGGTCAGGGCACATACCTAGGTTACTGGTTTCACCCCTGACTGGGGCTTGATCAATGTCTGTCTGTCTGTCTGTCTGTCTCTCTCTCCTTTCCTCCCTCTCTAAAATCAATAAAGCATACCCTTGGGTGAGGATTTAAAAACAAAAATCACAAAAAACCCCACGTTTTTTAAAAAAACATAAACAACCTGGCAGGTGGTAGAGTGTTGACCCATGAACCAGGAGGTCACAGTTCCATTCTGGTCAGAGCACAGGCCTGGGTTGTGGGCTTGATCACCAGAGGGGGGTGCGTGCAAGAGGCAGCCGATCAATGACTCTCTCATCATTGATGTTTCTCTCTCTCCCTTCCTCACTCTGAAATCAATAATTTTTTTTAAAGCATAAAGAGAAAAAAAATACTGAGAAATACAGATGAGAAACTTTTGTTGACTTTTGGTTTTGTTAAGTATTTAGAAATGTATTTGGTGCCTTACATATAGTTTGAACTCTAACCAAGCTATATTAAAAACAAATAAGATATAAGAAGAATTAGCTAACTTAATTAATTAATTGATATTTGACATAAAGTTTTCTTTTCTATAATGCCCATTCCTAACAGAGTGGAGCAAAAATAAAGGAGAGGAAGGATGCTGTGCAAAGGAAACTACAAACTTCTGCTGGTGAAAGTCATGCACAGAAAATTAACATGGTCTGCAGGCCTCACCTAAAAGTGACGGTGATGAAGCCTTACCGTTGTTTGTTGTCGAGTTATTCTTCCGCTTGATTCGAGGAATGAATTTCTTCTCCACAGCCCTTATCTTATGCGGGAGGACCTCTGGCATCATAGCTGCTCTTTTCTTCCCACAGCGAGGAATTGGCTGAGTAAAACATGTTCTTTTTTTGCGGCGGGGTGTGAGGACATCAATGGCACCAGATCTGATCTTGGCTTCCATTCCTTCCCTTGAGCCAAACTCATCTGTGTCTGACAGTTTATAAAGGGGCAGCACATGCAACTGCTCATCTTGAGGAATAACACCTAATGAGCGGTTGTCTTCTCGTGTCAAAGTACAAACCTGATAGGAAGAAAACACGAAATGGAAAATATAGGGCCTGCACATTCACAATGGCTATTCCTACCTTCTCACTGTTGCCGTGGTGTAAGGGATCTGTACTCTCATTTTATTTTCAATTGGTGACTATTGGTATGTTAATTTTGGATGTCATATCTTAACCCACCCAACACAATTCAATTCTATTAACTTAGCAATTGTTTGTGAGCAGACCATTATAACTTTGAGTTGATTTTATAAGTAAATGATATTGCATATGTTTATATATTTTATAATATTTTAAATATTAAGCTTTCTATCTGTTACCTTGCATTTAATTGCCCAAGTCAAGGAATGGTTAGTGAACAGTTTACTGCCTTCATATTAAATATTAACTATTAAGAAATTATTAGTTTAACCTATACATAACCTTATTTCTTAATATTTACATAATGTCACATTCCTTGTGGCAGAATGAGCTTAATTATAATGAATTTTCTAATTTGCTATGTTTCCCTCTAGGATTTTTTCATTTCTATCTGTTAAGTGGAATTTATAGATATCTTGTCTGCCCTCCTTATCAGGATGATTTTTTTTTCTTACCTAAGAATTTTATCTTTTTTTTTTTTTTTTAATCGTATCTATTGATTTCAGAGAGAGGAAAGGTAGGGGGAGAGAGAGAGATAGAAACATCAGTGATGAGAGAGTCATTGATCGGCTGCCTAGCTCGCAACCTGGGCATGTGGCCTGACCAGAAATCGAACCCTGATCGCCTGGATCCTAGGTCGACGCTCAACCGCTGAGCCACGCCCGGCCGGGCGTTATCTTGATAAATTTTCTCTTTCTGCTCCATTTTGCTTCTATTTTAGTTAAGAGCACATCAATAGCCTGGCCAAGCGTGGCTCAGCGGTTGAGCGTCAACCTAGGATGCAGGCGATCGGGGATCGATTCCCTGTCAGGGGCGTGAAGGAGGCGGCCAATCAATGACTCTCTCATCATTGATGTTTCTATCTCTCTCTCTCCCTCTCCTTTCCTCTCTATGAAATCAATAAAGATATATTAAAAAAAGAAAAAAGCACATCAATAAGCTTGTCTCACTTTGCTTTGAATGTGAAATAGGACACCTTAAGAAAATTCTATCTCGAATATAACCTATCTCTCAGTCCTTGTCCTCACTTTATTTTTATTCATTGCAGAGAAATGAAAATACACAACTATATACAGAAAATTCCTGACCATTGATACCAGGTAGTATTCTACTATTTTTATGATAATTTTCAAATGTCATTAAATATCCATTAAAAGCATACCCAATGGTTTCATTATGTTTCACTGAAAACATTTTCCTAGCCTGGCTGGCCTGGCTCAGTGGCTGAGCATCGACCTATGATCCTGGAGATGGTGGTGGTTCGATTCCCTGTCAGGGCACATGCCTGGGTTGCTTGAGGGCTGGATCCCCAGTAGGGGGCGTGCAGGAGGCAGCTGATCAATGATTCAATCTCATCTTTGATGTTTCTATCTCTCTCTCCCTCTCCCTAACTCTCTCTTAAACCAATAAAGACGTATTAAAAAAACAAAAGTGCATTCTTTAAAAATACAAAAAAACCCGAAACATTATAAGTTGCCTACCTTTCTAACTACCGTTCGATAGCACGGAAATGTTGCTTTGAATAATCATGTAACCCTTACCTCCCAGCAAACATACCTCAATTAAATACACAATTCAAGAGCTTCAACAAAATACAGGTTGAAGGGTAGTTCTGTAACTTTTTTGGAAGTACAGTACTTCAATAATAACTTAAATTTAAAAAATTAATACTATCGATATATACATAGTGGAACAGCACATACAATATTTGTTACAAGTCATATTTAAGGTCTCAGCCTAAGCATATAGCAATGGGGCTTTTAGAATCAAAAGCTCCCAGGTACCTACCACAGTACTTCCATTATTCATGTTGTGAATGTCCCTGTGGGGGTGGGCACAGAAGTCTAGGCAAGCGGTGACCCCAGAGAAAGGACGACCTTCTCTGTTGCCAAGCCGACATTCTTGGGCAACGTGTTCGTACTTTACCTAAGAACAAATAAAGTATCACACACAGTTTAAGACAGACTCACTTTAAGGAAAGGGTAAAAATCACTTCATGAAAAAGTTCTAAAATTTAATTACAGTTTGTAGTTTCAGAGATTTCTGAAACTACCATATCTTACTGCACTGAATGTGTAGTTTAGTAACATTTGGGATAGAGTTTGAGAATGCCTGGGGAAAATCATTGCTGTGACTGAGGCAGGGTGGGGACACGAATGCCCACTGGTGGTGGATCAACAAGCAGAGCAGCCTGAATCATTCCATTAGAAAGAGGCTAATGTACTGCATTCATTACGTATGCAGCTTTCAATGTGTATAAAAAGTAAATATGTACACATATTCACAAACCAGTACAGAAAGTGAATTTATAAAATTAAAATGAAAAGTTGCCCGGCCAGGCGTGGCTCAGCGGTTGAGCATCGACCTAGGATCCAGGTGATCGGGCTTCGATTCCCGGTCAGGGCACACGCCCGGGTTGTAGGCTCGGTCTCCAGTCCGGTGCATGCAGGACGGAACCGATTAATGATTCTCTCATCACTGATGTTTCTCTCTCTCTCCTTCTCCTTTCCTCTCTGATATCAATAAAGATATATTTTTTTAAAAAATGAAAAGCTAAAAAACTGAAAGAAACAAGATGAAAAGGAATTATAATTTTAGGGGGGCGGGGAAAGAAAAGCTAAAATTTAACAGAAAGCACATTATTCTTAATACAAATAAACTAAAGATTTAAAAAATATGAACCTATGCTTATGTTTAAATATTTTAAAATATCTACACTTATTTTCTACTTTGTTTGATACGTGATTTGTAAATATTTCCCCCCATTCTGTGCTGTCTTTTTTTTATCCCCTTCCCGTTTGATTGACATATTACTGCCATGTAACAGTAAGTTTAAGGTGCACAATGTGATGGTACATGTATGAATTGCAGCAAAATGATTACCACAAAAAAGTTAGTTAACACTTCTAGCCCTTCCCATAATTATAATTATTTCATATGTGTAGTGGTAACATCTAAGATCTCTTAACGATGCTTTAGATCCCCAGATTTTATGTATCTTATAGCTGGGAGATTGTACCCCTTGACTAATATTTCAACATCTTCCCTCACTGTATTCTTTCTTAATGATGATGTCCTTTGACAAATTTAAAAATTTTTATGATCTAACTTCATTTTGGATTGTCTATTGCTAGTGTATAGAAATACAATGATTTTGCATGTTGATCTTGTATCCAGAAACCTTGCTGAACTCACGTATTAGTTCTAATAGTGTATGTGCCTCGATATTTTCTACATATAGGATCATATCACTGGCAATCAGAGATAGTTTACCGCTTCCTTTTTTAGTCTGGATTTCTTTCACTTACTTAATTGCCCTGAATAGAACTTCCAATAACATGTTTCATAGAAGTGGTGAGATTTGACATTTTTATCTTGTTCCAGATATTAGGCAAAACACTTTTAGTCTTTTATCATTAATTATGATGTTGGCTCTGACTGATTTTCATATGTTGAACCAATCACACATTCCTGCTTTTATCTTTTATTTTTAGAAATAAGCATAATTCTTTTACGAGTTTTAATTCAATTACTATAATACTTTTAAAATTAACACTAGATAACTTTTAAAGCTGTTTAATAAAAAGAAATATACATCAAAGTTCAAATTAGAAAAGTTTTCTAGTAACAGTAATTTTGTTTATATAGAAATTTCAACCATGTTTAAAAGTACCATGTAAGGTCCCAAAACATACCTGGTTCTGGTAAGCAACTGGAGCATACTGTTTATAAACTGGAGCTAATTGTGTGGCCAAACTCTGTAAATTATCTTCAAGGTTTTTTTCCTATAGGAAAAGATAGTCCATATAAAAGTTGTTTCACAGTGACATGAAAGGTGAGTTTAAGGTTATGGAAATGATATGTAGTTAGTGCACAATTCATATTTACCCTGATGAAAGAGCTACCACAGAAAACAATTTGGATTGTTTATTTAAAAATCTATACTATTAGTGATTTTATGCTTTACTTTAGTCTTTTGAAACTAAAATTCTATGTTAAATGCTAATTAGAAATCTAAATGGTGTTAGAGGTAAGTTGCAAAACAGCTTATGTTGCTAAAAATGAGAATCATATTTTATATTTATTCAATGATACTGGAGACTTTAAGTAAATGAAGACAAAGTTGCTGCTGGCAAAGGGAGATGTGGAAGCAAATAATTCTGACATAGTGCAACAACTTTCTATAACAGAGAGGAAAGCAAAGCACATAAGGCGTATATCACGTAAGCAAATCCTGTGTCAAGGGCTTCAAATCTAGTAAGTGGGCAACTGGTTGTCTAAAATTGGTGTTTTCTTTTCTACACCACAATGGCTACAAATTGAGGAAGATTTAGTGGGTCTGTGAGGAACCTTAACACCATTATTAAGAATCTGGAGTAGCTCAGTGCCAAGGTTGTGGGTTCGATCAGGACACATACAAGAAGCAACCAATGAAGGCATAAATAAGTGGAACAACAAATCGATGTCTCTCTCTCTCTAATCAATACAATTTTTTTTTTTAATGTTACTGATGACAGTATGTGGTGTGATGCAGAGAAGGAAGACGTTGGAAACAAAAGTTGAAAGACCACTTGGATAGTTTTTCAGAGATAATTAATACTAAATCAAGTCGGGGACCTTTTAAAAATGATCAGTCACATCTAAGGAAGTAAATTGAAGGGGAAATAGAGAACAAGGTTGGAGGAGGAACTTAAGAAGATTTGAGGCGTCTGTCTCGTTTGAAATTTGGCAGATGCGAAGAACACAGAGAAAAGACTTCCATATGAATCACGTCACCTCTGGTACGCATTAGATTACTATGAAAGCCAAAGCTACAGGGCAATGTAGACATACGAAGTTAATTCTTGAGTGTGTCTAACAAGCCTCAGTCTTAGCAACTGTAAAGCATCAGTGATAACCGTTTGAGTTTCCTGACGATTTATGGTGATGCTTTCATTGAAAAAGAAATTTATGTATATGGTCTATATTTATGTTACTCTGTTCCATTTATCTGTCTACTCAATTATCTGTTCCTTAATGTAACCTGCTAAATACAATCAGGAAGTTAGGATCCTATTTTAAGAACACTTCCTGTCTATACACACATTATTTTATTTATTTGGGGGATACTTTAGAATTATGATTTAAATACCTATTGAAAAGATTTTGATTGTTTTCTAATACTTAAAATATTGGGTGGATTAACTGTGTTTTACCGCCAGTAGAATATTATGAAATATCCACTGTCACAAGTCAGACTTGTCATCTTATAAAATATCTCATTTATTGGGGAGAAATGTTGAAAAAAAGAAAAAGGAGGGAAATAGAACGAAATCAAATATACTGTAGAGCTGACTTCTGGTATCTATTTATGAATGTAAGGCTCATTCATATTGTAAAAATCTTGACTTTCTAATTATTTCATTAGAATAAATGTATTTAGGATATAAAGATTTCTACTTATCAGATAAACCTGTTGGCACTCAAGCCAACATCGCTCTACTTTTCTCACCCTATATCTGATCTCAAGGACCATCAAATCCATATCCATGACAACTACCACCTGAACTGCAGATTTACCCCTTGAGCTTCAGATTTTTATTATTATTGACCTGACAACCCCCACTTGGTATCCCCTTAGGGAATCTTCAACCCCTTGTGTCCAAACTGAATTCATTATTTGTCTCCTACCAATGTGGTGCTATTTCAGCATACCCTTTTGTCAAGAAATAGCACCAATTAATTTAAAAAAATAGTTCCAGACCAACCACTGCTCACCATTTTCTCTGGCATAATCACAATCCAAGCACTATTATCTCTTCCCCGGAATATTCTCATAGCTAGCTCATTTTGGTAAATACACTCTTGGCCAACTGCAATCCATTATTCAAAAAGCAGCCACAGAGAGCTCTTTAAATAACAAGTGTAATTATATCATTCTCTTTAAAACCCTTCAACGAACTGGCTTACAAGGACATTGCATGTACCTCACTCTCCCTTGCCTGCTGAGCTTCATACTGGCCTTCTCTCAGTTCCCAGAATGAGCAATGCTTTATCCTGTATTATAAGTACTATATAAATGTTACTCATTATCAGTAACAACCATAAGCAAACCCTGACCTCACATTTATTAACTATATAACAGTATTATTGTCATAGAATAAAAATCTAAGTCACATCAATATTATTAATATGTTTACATGCTAACAGTTTCATCATATAATATTTGGAAAGAAAACTGAACTGGTTAATTTTATGGGACAATTGACATCACATTACCAAGTGTCTGATCTTTGAACAGAGTAGCTTTCCGTTATCAGGTATTTTATATGTCCCTTACTATTTTTTTATAGTTTCCTCCGTAAAGGTCTAACACACTTTTTGTTAGATTTCTACAGTACTTTATCTTCAGATGACAATTCTCTCTCTTGAATCTTTTCATTGTTTTATTGCAAGGGATGGGAAATCTAGAAAATGCTAAATAATTTTAATTACCTCTTTAAAAGGATCATTATTCATTTAATTCTAAGCTTTTTTGAAAGCTATTATAGTCACTGTATTACAGATATAGTTGGATTAATTCCTGCTGTTTTATTTTCTTTTCTATTTATCCTGAATCCTAATGATTATGTGTAAACTCCCTTTGCTGATTTATGGATGGATGGTTTGTTTTTAAATCGCCCCCCCTCAAGTAATACAAAACTATAAATTCTATTTCTATTCATCTAAAAAAATTTTAAACATGCACTTTTCAAATACGTGTTTCTATCTAGAGCAGTGTTTTCCAAGCTGTGGGTCATGACTAATTAGTGGGCCATGAAAGCAGTTTAGTAGGTCACAATTAGAATTTAAAAAATAAATTAAATTGTATAAATTCTGCATCCTAGAGATACTTAGCAATAACTATATTGCATATTAGGTTTCAATTTTTTAAATATTTTCTTTGTTACATATAATAAGGTTAAGTATTCTTTTCTGATGGTTTTGTTTTAATTATTTACTTGTACATATTTAACTGTATAGTGATTTGTAATATAAAATGTTTTTCACTATTGGTCACAGCTCAAAGTTTGAAAAACACTGATCTTAGAGTTAAAGAGTATCTAAATCCTTCCCACTCCATACAAAGCATTAACCACCACCACACATAGCCCTTATACATGCCCCCCCCCACTGCCTACCCACCCGAGTTAAGAGAATGGAATTATACTTATAGGTTGTTATTTTTAATTTAAAAATGTAAGTACTCAACTTATCTAAACTTAACAGTAAGGGTGACTAATTTCTTTGCTCACCATGGCCTCCTGTCCTGGACAGATTGCTTCCGGTTTCACATATCTTCTTTCTGGAATACGTCCTTTAGTAATTCTTTCATAGTAGCTCTGTGGGTAGTAAACTTTCTGAGTCTTTGAAATGTTGGCAAATGGCTTTATTAATTCTTCCTACTTTGGCTGGGCATAAAATTCTATGTTCTTCTAATAATAATTATCTCTGGGGTTAAGGAAGGAGGAGGAGGAAGGAGCCAGGGACAACTGGAATTTGGGTTGATAGAAATGTACTTATATATTCATTGTGTAATTAAAAAGTTAAAAGGAAACTTACATGTAAGGGAGAACTTGGATCAATTCTAAATCTTCTAGGATTTGGGCTTCTACCAAATTTGCAGCCATTGAAATACATACTCCATGAACAGCCAAAAGAGAATGAAGCTCCACAAGACTCTGGATCAATTCCTTGACATGTACAGGTACGACTGTAAGATGGTAATTGCAAGGGAATGAGCTGATAAAGTAGGACAATACCTCAGACAGAACATTTCAAGTTCATATGACTTTAGAAGTATAGATGGCTAGTAAACTAATTTTAACATCTCTTTTATTAATTATTATATCTAAAGTACTGTTAATAACACAAAGCTAACTGTATGTGAATATAACTCAATTTTTAACTAAACTGTTCGATTGCAAATCCAAATGAATTGTAATAAACTATACACATCTGAAATACATGTAATCTTGTTTGATTTAGAAATGGTCTGAATAGGGGATATAAAGGGCTTGGATTTTACATCTCAGATCTGTTTCCTATTAGAAATGAAAACTAGAGCATCTCATGGCCACTTTGGACTTTAGCTACTCTCTCTGTAAAATGACATTGATACAATCCTCTGATAACTGAAAAGAACAGTATATATTGTATGTGAAATCACTTTATCAGTTTTAAAGAAAGCCTTTATGAATGTCACAACACAAAAAATTGAGTGAAAAGCCTGTTTCATTTGTTAACTTGGTAATTTTATCGCTTTGGGGGCATTTCTGAAGCCCTAAAATAGTCTACAGTAAGGATGAGGGCCCTGGCCGGTGCAGTTCAGTGGTTAGAGGGTTGGCCTGCACACCAGAGGGTCGAGGGCTCGATTCTGGTCAGAGGCATGTACCTGGGTTGCAGGTCTGACCACTGCCCAGGGTGGGGAGGGGCCGTGTGGGAGGCAACCAATCCTGTGTCTCTGTCACATCGACGTTTCTCTCTCACTCACACACTACCCCTCCATTTCACTTTTTTGAAAATCAATGGAAAAAAAATATCCTCACTCCTTAGGTGAGGGTTAAAAAATTATAGTAAGAATGACAATGATTAGAGTACACATACAAAGATACGAACCCAAGGAGGTAACATACACTCTGTGGTTCCTTATGCTTAAATCTTGCAATAGTATGTATGCAGTGCTTATGTAATGCCTTAAAAATACAAACAATATAGAAACTACACTTTTGAAGGGGAGCTCACAACAGAAGTTACCTCAATAAAAAATAAACAAACAATAAAAACGTACATTAAAAACAGTAAATAAAAAGAATATGAAAATTTAGAGATCAAAACTGTATTTTTAAATTGTGAATGTCAGGAAAAATCCTGATATAACATTGAATACAAAAGGGACCATTCAAAATACTACAAAGGAAGAAAGGGAGGGGAAGAATAGGTGAAATACTCTAACCTCCTCTAAATCCTCAACAGAAATAGGAGGTAAACTCTAAAGGAGCAAAGCATTACAATAACTTGGCAAGGAAGAAAAAGGGAATGTAAATGGGACCAAAGTAGTTAATAGGAAACTGCAGATGAAATTAAAGTTGCCAAACAAACAGAAAAAAAACTTGTTTAAGTCATTGAAATAACACATGGGAAAGAGAAAAATATAGTTTAACTATTGACAGTCACTTAAAAATTAAACACATAGGAAATGTAAAAGATCGTGAGGCTTGAAAGAGCTTCCCCAGAACATCTTAAACAGTAAACATCACTGAAATGAGACAAATTGACTTATAGGTCCTGATTTTATGGATTGAGTATAGTATTCCTGCCAGTAATTCCTGAACTGAATTGAATCAGGAAGAAGCAATCTGACAAGTCAAAATTAAACAATAGTTTACAAAATGAACTCATTCCGTTTAAAAATGTCAATGCCCTGAAAGACAAAGAAGTGAGATAAAAGGATTAAGAGACCAAAAGATAAAACAACTTAATCCACCCAATCCAGGATGGGGGTAAATTACTATAAAAAATATTATTGGGAAATAGGTAATATTTGAATATGAACTGTTGATTAGATAAAGATGTCCATTTGTTATAATTTAATGCAATTCCATGAAAAATATCATTAGATTTATCTTAGAACTACACTGTTGATTATGAAGTTTATTTGGAAGCATGAAGAGAAAACTGAGTAACAAAGAAAGTCTTGAAAAAGAGTAAGAATGGTGAGCCAGCCCTACCAAATACTGAAATATATTATAAAGTCTCTACAGTTTAAGCAATGTGGTACTCAGTACCTAAAAAGCCAGGACAATAATACAGAATTCAAATACAAGACAGGATTCCATTACATAAAATTTTCGTATATAGTTAAGAAGCATTTCAAATCAAGGAGAAAAGTAGTACTCTTTAGAAAGTAGTGATGGGAATAAATGGAAAAAAGGAGAGAAATGAATCTCTTCCTCCTACTATTGACCAGCATAAATTTTAAATACATTAGAGATTTATGGTTTTAATTATTTATGACTTCAACAAATTTTAGAAGAAAACAAGGGTGAATTACAGTATTACTTGAGAGATAGAAGATAGAAAACTGTCCTTACATATCACTCAAAATTGAGACACAAATAAGGTTGGAGATGCAATTGATGAACGCCTGGCCAGTGTGACTCCGTAGCTGAGCGTCAGCCCTTGAACCAAGAGGCCACAGGATCGATTCCAGTCAGGGCACATGCTTGGGTTTCGGGCTCAACCCCCAGTAGGGTGACTGCAGAAGGCAGCCAATGGATGTTGGCGTATTCTAATCAAGAACATCCTCAAAAGGTCTTAACTCACTATGAAATCATGCCTCTCTTTAAAGAAATGGTCACCCTTGCCTGGCTGTGCGTGGCTCAGCAGGTGAGCATCGACCTAGGATCCAGGAGATCACGCTTGCGGGCTAGATCCCCAATGGGGGGCGTGCAGGAGGCGGCCGATCAATGACTCTCATCATTGATGTTTCTCTCTCTCCCTTCCTTCCTCTCTCGGAAATCAATAAAGATACATTAAAAAAAAAGAGAGAAACAGTCACTCTTTTTAGTTGCCCAATATCTAAAATCTTGTTCTCCCATACATATCCTTGGTCATTAATTAACAACTTAACATTCTCTAGAGGGGGCCGAACGCCAGGACAGTGCGAAGCAGGTATGATTACTTTTCATTGAGGGTGCATCTTCGGTCGGTGGGGCGGCCGTTGTAGGCCTTCAGGTTCTCGGTGAGCTCGGAGTACAGCCTGTCTGCCATGGGGAGAGGGATGCCGTCCCACACCATGATGAGCACCACCATCACGGCCGTGGGGCAGTGGTGGCCCGCCCGCTGCCGCACCAGACACAGAATCTTCTCTTCGTCGCTGCTCCGCCTTAAAACCTGCAAGAGCAGAACGCATTCATTTATGGGAAACAAGGAACCTCAGGTTGAGTACAGTGTATGTTGCTTTTAAAGCTCTACGATACTGCATTTTATTTTTTAAAATTACTATTTCACATAGGGTTGAAGCCTATAGGAGCTTCAGGGGTCAGACTAGCGTCTACCACGTAACTCATTAGACTAGCCCAGATTATTTGACTAACACACGACAGAACACAACTCTGTGGTATGTGGTTATTATGTGTAAAAGTAGACCAAAGCGTCTGTGTTTATTGCGCTGTTGATAGTTTTGCAAAAGAGGTAACAGAGGATCCTGTGGGGAAGGGCCTAACTAACTGCTCTTCATCGCTCTTACACAAATGTCACAACAGGACAAATCTAGCTAGATGAAAATAACCAAGGACTCCCAACATTAAAAATAAACTTGCTGAGCAATCAAATTTAGCATCTGAAGAAAACGATGGATCTTTTCCTTGAGCAGATGCTTACTAGATAGAACAGTTAACATAGAAAGCAATGTTCCTGCGATTCCTGTGATTTTTTTCCACGCCGCCACCAGGATTTATCATACCTATTTTATCGTAAGATTAAAGTGTCCAGCTGCCAATGGTAAATGTAAAACACAACAATCAATTTTGAATATTTATCCACTTAACATACACTATATCATGCCCATAAGGTGCTAAAAAGCCTTCAAAAGTATTTAAAATAGTGCTCAGTGGTCCTAATGTTACAAAAAAAATTACATAAAAATGTTGCACAACATGAAATCATCCACTCTGTTTAAAACTCTCTCCATGGATTAGAAAATTACAAAGCACAGACTGACCACATTAATCAGTAACTGATAAAACAGCCCAGACTTGTGACCAAAATGAAGCAATCAATAGCATAATATTCCATTTTTGCTGTTATAATATTATATAAACTTGAGATGAAACTTCTTAAGATGTTAGTTACCCAATATCACTTTCTTCTGTCACTCCAGATGGTTAAGAATCATTGCTACCAAGGCATCCCTTGAGTAGAGTTGGTTTTAGGACCTTCCCCCTAAACACAATTATTTATATTAAAATGTTTTTCTATATTTATATGTCCTTTACAGCCAAATAAGAATACATTTGCTTTCAAAAAAGTTTAAATACAAAATGATATATACTGTAACAAACAAAATTATACCAGATAACTTTCAAGTTGTCAAGACTACAACAAAGTTCTATTGAGCCATTCATTATTTGTCCGGAACATGCTAAAATGTTATTTATTCATGGTATTTGTGCTTTTGCTAGATTTTCCCCCCCAAATTTCCTTCAGTAAACAATAGAAAATTAAGCATATGAATCTCTAAATTCAGATTTAGGTTCAATAAATTGCTTAAGTATTACTATGGCATGGATATTCATGTCTATCCAAAATTCACATATTAAATCCTAAGTTCCAATGTGATTGCGTTAGGAGGTGGGACCTTTGGAAGGTGATTAGGTCACATAGGTGGAGAGCCTTTGAGAGTGGGGTTAGTGTTCATATAAAAGAAGACAAAATAGAACTTCTACCATGTGAAGATACAAAAAGAAGAGTCCTCACCCTACCAGGCTGGCACCCTGATCTCAGACTTCCAAACCCCACTCTAACAAATACATTTCTGTTATTTATAATCCACCCCGTCTGGTGTTTTTTTCACAGCATTCAAAACTGAGTAAAATACCTATGAAAGACCTCTGACAACTGTAAATACATTATTGAAATAAATTAAAGAAGACCTAAATAAAAGGAGAGATGCCATGCTCAAGGAATAGTCAACTATTATAATAATGTCAATTTTCCACAAATTGATTTCTAGATTTGATGTTATCCCAATCAAAATCCTATTAGTTTGTTTTGGTTTGAGTGAAAATTGACAAACTTGTTTATATTAAAATGCAAAGGACTAAGAAGAGCCAAGAAAAGGAAAAAAGACAAAGAGATTAACCAGACATCAAGATCTGGTAAAGCTACAGTATCAGGTTGGTTTCGAATTGGTGCAGTGACAGATAAAGAGATTCATGGAACAAAACAGTGAGTTCAGGAGATCTGTATAAAAACAATCACTTGACTTAAGATAAAGTTGACAATGTAGCACAATGCAAAGTCTTTTCAAAAAATGGTACTGTGTATTTATCCATACAAAAAAATGAATCTTGAACCCCTTCTTCACATGAATAACTTGATTATAAAGGAACAAGTTAAGCTGGATTACATTAAAATTAAGAACTTCTGTTCATCAAAAACATTAACCAGCAGAGGATTAGGGCAAGCAAGCAATACAGTGGGAGAAGTCTTTACAATATATATAATTGATAAAATATTCTTACCCAAAATAAAGAACTTCTCCAAATGAGTAATAAAAACACAATAGAATAGGCTCAACACAGAGAATATCCAAACAGATGATGAGCGTATGAAAACATGCTCAACGTTATTAGTCATCCAGCAGACTAAAAAAAATTTTAAAGTGCTGCACATGTTGGTGGGTTTATAAAATGGAGCAACCACTATGGAAATGGTGGAAGTTGCTTAAAAAATTAAAAACAGACTTCTGAGTATAGATCCAAAGAATTAAAAGCAGGGTCTTCACCAGATATCTGCATACCCATAATCACAAATTGTGATAAATTTGTCTTGATAAATAACAAATAAATGTAAACACATGATCCAGGATTGGATTCTGAATTAGGACAAAACCTTGTTTTCTTTTTCCATAAGGCATATTATTGGATATAAAACCTAAAGATTAGATAATTTTGTATCAGGATTGATGATTGCTATGTAAGGTTTTAATAACTGTATTGCAGTTATGAAATGTAATATATTATCGTTAGGACAATGTCCTTGTTTTTATGAAAAGGCACCAGTGTATTTAGGGTGAAGGGCATCGTGTTTACAAATTGCTGTGAGGGAATTCAGAAAAAGTAGAGGAAGAGCAAAGGAAAGAGCAGGAGAAAGATGAAACAAAGCAAATGCGATGAAAAGTTACATTTGGAAAATGTCAATGAGGAGTATTAGAAGTTCTCTGTACTACTGCAACTTTTACATCTAAAATTATCTCAAAATAGTAAGCTAAAAAATATTTTCGTGGTGCTCTCCAAAGTTTCTGGACATTGTCTATTTTATTCTCAATACAAGCTTGGGACTCAGGTGCTCATGGTCCTCAGTAATGGAAGACAAGCTCTGGGACAGAGCCACTGGGTCACCAGGGCCACGCATAGCTCAAGAGATAAGCTCCAGGCAGATCTCTGGATGGAAAGTAGCAACTCCCATGATGTGAAAAACAGGCCTCTGTCAGGAAGGAGGCAAGAAGAGCAAATAGCAAGTCTTTTCATAAACTGAGCATGAACAATGAGGGAATTTTTTTGTAATGGAAAAAAATATCTTTCCAGTTAAACTCAATGTGTGGAACAATGAATATTCAATGTATAAGGTTTAGACAATATCCTAAGTAAATTAATGTGAATTACTCAGTATGTAAACTTAGATAAACCAGTAAGTACCCAAATCCAAAATACTGTCAAGATTAGGAAGATGTCATTTTGTCAAATTATGATATGCTGGAAATTGTAATCACCTGGAAAGCTGATGAAGTCATACTGTAAGTGAAATGATACAAATGCAAAATGGAATGTATAGTATCACTTGTACTAATGGGGAAATATAAGCAATGCAATTTTCTATTGCAGTATTGTTGAGGGGAATACAGTAGCCAACGCCGCCCCCCCCCCCC